TTCGAACAGTAGTGATCTACAACAACAATAATTTTTAATCTATTAAATTTTTGGCTGACCATACAGCTGTTTCGAGTATTTCCAAATACCCATCATAAGTGATCTTGGAGTTATTTCGTATATTAAATGATTTAAATAGCACTAATTATCTCCAAAATAGCTCTTTCGAAAAACTATCACTATGTTTCGAGTTTATATAATTTAAATCTCGTGTTATCACGCTTTTAAATTAAAAAACTTATAGAACTTATAAGCCTTCATTTATTTATAAAAGATTTTATTTAGAAAATAAGAAAAATTTAGGTCCTCAACTCCTTCCTCTTCATGACCTTATAGTAGAACTAAGTGTGTTTTCTTTACTCAAATTTTAAGTACAATATGATTGTCCTACAATACTTATATAATCTATATACCATAGTCTATTTCATATACTTTATAAACAAGTTTTTTTTCGATATTGATGTTCAACTTCCTCTCTACATCATACCTACATCATAATAGCTGTTCGAATTCTAGTCACTCATAAGACTTTTGGTCTACCTAAACCACAGAAAAATAATGTGCCTACGGTATATAGCCACTACTAGCTCAGCTGAATATTAATATGGTCTACATCCCTTTAATCACATTCCTAACTAAGTGCCTGTACTTGCCTTTTGGATATTATATTAATCACAATACCTATGTTAGCTTTAAAAAATCGTTTTTAATAATTGAAAATAATGAACACTATATCAGAAACTGAATAACCCATGATAAACTAAGTATGCTTACTGTAATATCAATTCAATATTAAATAAAAAGACAAATCAATATACCTTTAAAGTAAAGATTTATTACTTCACCTTTATCGAAAAAAATTTAAGACATTACTTCGAAAATGTTTAGATTTTAAACCATTAAGGCCGTCTCGAAATAAACACCGCACTAGAGTGATGGGTTAGTGAATGCTCTTTACGTTTGAATAATATCCTGAATATATCATATCCTGAACCTGTAAATCTGTAAGATCCTCTCGAAGTAAACTGCGCACTACACAGATGGATTAGAGAACGTATGACCAATATCCTGAATATATCGTATATATATCATACGTTGTATACCATTTACTTTTAATCGGAGTATATCTCCAACAATTTTGCTAAATAGCACTCCCATACTACAAGCAGATAATATAACGTACTTGGGTATTCACCTAGACTAGTGACTAACGTGGCGCAAGGATATTGAAGCCAAAAAAAATTTAAATAAAATTCCAAGCCTCTAAGTTACACTGGCTCATTAATAACAGATCCACTCTGTACCTACAGTATAAAGTATTCTTGTATACCAGCATCATAAAACAACATGGATTTATGGTATCTAGCTATTTGGTAATGCTAGTGCTTCAAATATTCAAATTATACAAAGAGCTCAGTCAAAAATACTGAGAATAATCACTGGTGCCCCGTGGTATATTAGGAATGAAAGTATCCACCGAGATCTACAAATTCCCTTACTTAAAGCTGAATTTGAAAATATAAGAATAAAATACAATAAAAGACTGAGAACATGTTAAACCCTTAGCAAGGAATCTCCATTACTTCCCGCCTAAAAAAAGCTCACTGTCCAGCCATTAATTAAAATTCAATAGCTTCGATATTAAAAACCGCACTCTTCTTTTAGTAATCTAATCAAATTTAACTGGTTTCTTACCCTAACATTTACTCCAATCAAATTTAACTCATTGATTTAAGGGAGGTCCGTGATATTAGATTTACCTATTTTATTTTTTTTTTATTATACAATCTATAGTAAAAATAAAAATGATAATATAAAGTAATTAGTGCTAAGATTTTAAAAATTAGTCTCATTATAAGAGAAGATACAATAAATAAATGTATAAGTATTTAAAAAAAAACAAAAATGTTTGTCATATTATAATACTCAATACTCAATGTATCAATTCGCTATATTTCTTTAATAAATAAAATTCACTTATTTATAAATATATAATATAAAATAATCTGTTTATATTTGCAAACAATTAAACCATTAATTTTCATATTTTAGCTTTAAAAAACTATCTGTAAGTGTTGGAAAGTAGAAAACTTTACTAATAATAATTTCATAATTTGGAAAGGGGCGAGTGGTAAAATGGTTAGTCCTTGTTTCTATTTATAAAGTAAAATATCAAAAATTAATGTAATCGAACTTATCTTCTTCTAAACTAAACCACCTATTCTTCACACCACAATACTAAATTGCTAATTAACAATAAAATGGAAATCTACGATTTTGCCATTCCTGCCTGCTCCGGTACTTCCCCAGTCAGTACACTCTTAACAAATATACTTTTTACGTATTTTGTGTTCATTTCAATGAATTATTTTAAATTGATTGTAGGGTGTGAAGACGTTGGTAGAAAAACTTTATAAAGTTTCATTATGTTTTTATTGCTATTATTATTTATTTTATTTTTTGCTATATCTGTGGCAACAGACAGGATAAACATCTACCCACAAGCGACATTTAACGCTACTGTCTTACCAAATGCAAAAAACAAAGGATAAACAAGAATAGGAGTTTTTTACACGCACGCAGTGGATGGAAAAGTACCTGAAACCTGCTGGCGGACATCATGATTACGAGTGAAATCTACCAAGATTTTAATATTGAAAAGGCAGCATAAACAACTCGGCAATGAAATAATATAAGTTAAAGAAGCTTTGTGGGTTGCCACGGGAGTTTAGTTTCACAAATGAGATAATGGTTGGGGAAGAGCTTGTAAATATAATCATTTTTAAGGTCTTAAAGTAGTAGTAAAGCTTTTATCAGATGCACTTAAATAAATTTTTGTCAACTAAATTATTTGAACAGGTAATTCAAGCATTAAGCAAAAAAAAGCAAGTGTTGCAAGTAATGCACCTGAGAACTCTTCAAAAAATTTTTGAAATAATTTTTTATTAGTTTTACCTTGGAAAAATTTTTCTGAAGCAGTAAAAATAAACTACTCAAACTATAATAATAAACTGCTTTATTCTATATTTAGTATTACCATTAATTCGTAACTTAAAAAAATGAATGTATTTATCCTTTCATATATCTTTCCTGTTAAATATAAGTGTTTTTAGCTACCAAACCTCAAGTCTTAATAAAATAGAAACTGCGTTACAAAAATTTTACATTCCATAGGTATATTCGCTCAAACTATTTTAATACATCATCTATTTATAGATGGATTTGTAAATTGAAGTAGGAAAAAAGATCTTATAGTAAGACCTTTGACCTTTTGGAAACCAGAATTGAAGAAAACATTTTTCTTAAAATTTTACTATTCATGGATTCACTATACTATTATCCATCAACGTCTCTATAGTAAAACCAGCGGAATGAGACCCAACATTTTGGTTGGATATGACCGAATTAAAGAAGACATTTTTCTTAAAATTTTACTATTCATGGATTCACTATACTATTATCTATCAACGTCTCTATAGAAAAACCAGCGGAATGAGACCCAATATTTTGGTTAGATATGATAAAGCCCATTAGAAGAATGGAAGCGATCTCATAGTGACTGAAAGTTAAATAAATTAGTGCCCAAATACATGGAGACTAACTTGCATATAAATTATTAGTACGGGTGCAATGAAAACATACCTCATTATTGCCATTGAGGCACACATAGTTATAAAGTGAATTGCATCATAGTTATAATTACAAAAAATGAAATTTGCTCTTCAAGTTTTTCATATAACCTTTCATTCAAGGAAATTTAAAAACTAATAGGAATTTAGAATTTTTTCTTTTTTATATTTTTTATATTATCCTTTATTGAAGCTGAATATTGTAATTCTCAAAGGAAGTAACATAAATAAAAGAATGATGACTTTATATAGTCCTCCAAAGCGTTTGTTTTATTGAAGGTTAGGGTAGACGTTTGTTCATACATAGACTAAATGTGAGTATACCAATCGTCGAAAAAAGCAACAACTCCCCCATTTAGTAAAATTAAACCAACCTAACAGTAGTTTTGTAGGATGACAGCTCGCTTAGGTTAATAAGACACGATGGTTACATCTCTAGACCCACCTAGTCGTTTCAATAATAACTTTTTCAGAAGATTTTCATAAGAAAGTGCATACAATTAGAGTGTGTGGTGGAATACCTCAATGAATGATACCAATATAATAGCTTTATTATACATTCGATTTATCATGCAGGTATAAAAAATTTATTGATCCATATCCGTATTGATCCATATCCATATATGAGAAATTTTTAAATGAGAATGCCTTAACTCACTCTATAGATCACGATATAAAAAATACAATAATTATAGTCAATAAAAATTCCATTAACTATTATAAAATATATTTCTTTCTAAATTAATAATTCAAAATTAATCTAAACTAATCCAAAACTACAAAAATCTCGTCTCTAACCTATTGTGAACAGTATAATGTTTTTGGTCAAGAGGAATTTGGCATTAATTAAACAGCTGACAAGCTTGTAAATGTGGACTTCGACTACTAAATACAATTTATTCCAAAGCTATAAAAATCTTATATCTCTGTTTTTAGTATATATAAAGAAGTAGGTCTATATATCTGGTCGCGAAGAGTTCGACGGTTAAGAAATTATCAACGAACTTACAAGTGTGGATGCCTCACCATCCTTCATTAGACTTTAACCCTTATGCTCAGTGTTATATGAGGAATATGATCTACCTACATCCGACCATTTATAATCAGAACTGTATCAATACTTTAAAATATAGAATAGAAATTGTTTGTAAAGTCTTAGACCGATGAGAATGGATTAAAGCAATACAAACAGTTAAGTAGAGTCAATAATAAATCTGTTGACAATTTATTTAAATTTTAATCAAATAAATAGTTGCTTGTTTGGACATGCCCCTTTTAAGTGACATATTTCAAATATGGGATTAAAAGATATAATACCAACAGATATTATGAAATGCAGAATTAAACATCTTTCTACTTGTGTCTTAAGATTGTCAAGAAAGAAATCCAAGACACCCATGCGACTTTTATGAAATGCTGTAAGGTCCTAAAAATACCCATTGTGTCCCATTTTATTCACTGATCTCCAGTGACAACATAAAGAATTTCAAAGTTACGATATAATATTTTTCTTTAATATATTTATAAAAATAAAGAAGACATCGCATTCTGTTATGTTTACGAGTAACGTAATATCTTTTTAATTATTATTTCACATCTCTGACGTAAAACTTACGGTTTTCTAAAGTTTAAGGAAACTATAAAAATTCAAAATTAAAATGTTAATTAAATTTTCATGTCAACTAAAAATAAACAGTCATAAATTACGAAGATCCATATAAAGTACAATTTTACGTTCAGCATCTTTTACCCTTTGGAGGATTAAGGCTATTGTTGCTACATACATCTTTCATATGTTTACTCCTTCCTATGCAAATACCAAAGTATTTTTAGACAGCAATAAGGAGAAGTTTAACGGTTGCAACATTTAAGCCGATTTATTTGCAACCACAACATGCTGCCACTGCCACTGGGTTTCCCTCATTTCATGCCAACTCCTGCTGCATTGCAATTCCATGGATACATGGCTACATGGGGCTACAGATAGGATAACTCTCTCTCGCAAAGCAGTACACACATTTTCACTTTCCAACTTTAAAATTCATAATGCTGTTCCTTAAGTACATTTTATGAATATATTTATTTATTTTAAAAGTTTATTATAATTCGAAATTGCATAAGAATTTAAACGTTAGTGCTGTATATTAAATTAACTAAATTTAAAAAAAAAATAAAAATGTATACTTTTTTAAATACATATATAAACACTTGTACTTGCAGTGTAAACACCGTAAGTTTACATTTGCGGTTCATTTACAGTGAAATCAATTAATAAAAATAAATGCCTTAATATTTTTGCCCATATTAGTAATGTTAGTCATGTTAGTATATTTAAATTGAAAAATGATCACAACTGGGTTTTTTATTAAAAAAAATGAAATGTATTTCATTAGAAGGTTATTTGCAAAATGAATAAACAAAGCCCAGACAAAACAGCTTTTAAAGCTGTTAGACCTAAGATACTTTATACTATGTCAGCATATCTATCTAAATGTGCGAATGTAAGATATTGACAGATAACTATTAATAAGTAAATGTTATTATTTTTTGGCTTTTTTTTTCTCACATTAACAGATACAATTTTAAACATTATTTTGTTTTAAAACTAAGTCTGTTAGGAATGTATCTGAAGTAAGTTACAATCAACTGGATGGACCTAAATGTCTTATGAACTGTGTTCATATGACAGATAATAAGAATGACTTCGTGAACCGGCTACGTAAGTATATTGATTTGATGTTTTTTGAAGTTCTTTTTAAAATATTTTGTTACTCTGGTTTTGACTCATCCTATTCTTCACTGATTTGTATCTTGAATACAATATCTTTTTTATATTCTATACAGTACTTTCTACATTTTATCATGTCTTTTTAACAAGTGTAACGAAGCTTAACATCATATCAACGGATTATGCAGGAATTGCCAAGATGAAGAGGAGGTAGAATCTATCAACCACTTTCTGTGTCTCTGTCTAGGACTGCAGACAAGATGACTTCAATATCTTGGGGATCGTTTTTCACTGGCTTAGAAAAGATAACGAAAGCAAACTTATTGGATCTCAACTTCATCTGGAAAAGCAAATGGTTTAAGAAGGATAAAAAAACTTAACAACTCGTCTCCCGGCAAAAATTTTTGAGGGCATCACAATGGGCTATATATGCCTCCGAGCAAATGCTGACAACTGTCAGCACGCGCCTTCTGAACTTAACCCTAACCTAACATCATATCAATACTATTATATTCTATATAGTAGTAGCATATTCCATAATTTTTATAAAGTATTTTACCCACTTAGTAAAGTATTTTAACTATCTAATAAACAATATAATTAAAAAAATCACTATCTTGGCTATTTTTTGATACTTCGCTGTTAGGGGTCTTAACACCCTGAAGAGATATGCTCAAATATCTCATTTGTCTTTCCGTATAGTTGATAGAACATATTCACCATTAATTATTATTTCATATCTCTGACGTATAACTTCACCATTGTACCACCATTGGAATAGAGGTCAGTATTATATGAATTTTAATTACTCTATTTTCCGAATTTTAGTTTTACAAAACAACTATCATGCCTTAAACCATACGATTGGTTTAACTATCTGGACATCTAAATCTAATTGCCAAATAATGAGCTAATTCTTGGAGAATTTTCCTAAATTTTAGAAATTATTTCCGCAAGTTCCGAAAGATCCACTGATGTCTATATTCCGTAGAAATTTCAGGAAAATAACACTGTGCCGATGAATTGATATTCATCCCAATAATGCTCAGTATCAAAAATTTGTTCCTTTGTCTTTCTTCAGCACTAGAAATGTTAACGATTTCAAAATCATCAACTTAGGCTTTCATAAATGCATTTTTTCGGGTCGTGCATGTAAGGAATATTAATTTTATATCTATCTACATGGATTTAATATTCAACTTATAATGATCGACTATACCATATTACTAATAGGAGTGCAACAAAAAGATTCGAACAATTTTAGGGGTATATTAACCCTAAAATCTACCCTTCCTCGATATACATTTTTCAACTATTCAGTTAAAGGCAAAATCCCAGTGTTGTAAAATAATTTTATATGAAAATATTGGATTTGAGGAGTATTTGAAAGAAGCCTAATAGCGAAGGGTTTTACAATATATTTTTATAACACCTATAATCCAGATATACAACATCTTTAAAGAGCATTTAATAGTCTGTAGCCGTTTTAAGCAAATTATATTCTTTTAGACTTACTAAATGATTTAGACTTACAATTTTATTTAGAATAGAGAGAGAATAGAATATAGATTTTATCCATCTTACATAGAGAGAATTTTTTGGTTCTGCTTCATTAACACGTTAAACACTTCTTTCCTGAAAAACTATTTTTAAATAGGCTTCTTATATCTTGGATAAGTATGTTTAATAACTTGCTTAAATGATCTGACATTTTTATGTTCTTGAATTTTGCAAAAGAATCCACTTTTCATATTACATTAGTTTATCTTCCAAATAATTTAAGTAAGAATGTAATTCTTATTTTGAAATTACTTTAAAATATTTACTGAAGTTTAAATCCTTAACTTTTCTAGTTTGAACTAAAATCATTATACGAAATTAATATATTCTTATAAAATTGTATACTCCAATAGGTTTTCATTGCTTTCAAGAATTTGGTCTCTTGTGGCCCAAAAAATTTGAGTTACTTATTTCGAGAAAAGGGATACATCCCTTTTATTTAAATATATAAAACGACTACTTTAAACTGTGAAGAATTGTTGAGGATACTAGCAAAAAAGATTCTTATAATAAATATATATAAAATATTTATTATTTCCATACTACTTTATTTAAATACAAAAAGAAAAAAAATTTATTTAGCTGTTACAAGTGATTTTCTCTAAAATTTAGAGCCAATTTTATAATGCGCAAAGGAGTATTTGACACTTCTATACATTTTAAGTGAGTTTTTAGTGCACTATACCGAACACTTAAGTGTTACTTACCTTAAATATGCATTGTAAAACTGGACCTAAATGCAGTTCATTCAGCTTATTTCATTTATGTCGCTAATGAAGTTGATCAACTGTACAAAGAGCTTTCATACTTTCGAACTTAGGGAATAAATTAACTAAAATTATTACGATGATAAATTATTTAATTTTTACTAATGAAAATTTAATACTATCTACTGACAATTGAAAAGTAAGAAAATAAAAGCTCTCCTAAAACATTCTCCAAACTTTTATGGTACATAAAAACCTAAGCCTAAATCATCTTTTGCTAATGAAAACAAATAAATGTTAATTTGATTAATATTGAATTCACACGACAGTTTTGTTTGCAATTTTAGCTGTCAGTTGTTGTTGCTGTCAATGCAAAATGAACATTTTTGATAGCTAAAATTACAAAAAAAAACTTTAAGGGGAATCCTGTATAATATAAATTAATTTTGCTGCAGTGGGAAAATGTTATAAGAAAAAAGTCAAATAAAGCTTCGTCTAAACAGTCTAGACTTTGGCAAGATTTTTGCACATACTCTCACTTTATCACTTCATATACAAAATTTAAATACATTAAATACATTTGTTTGCATTCGATCATAAAAATAAAAAATCTAGATGTGTAGCTAGTAAATTTTATTTTTATAGATAATAACTATATAAAATAAAATGAAATAAAATTAACAACCAACACTGTTTTTTTTTTTTTTTGTTTCATAAGCCTTTAATTATAATAATAAATATTACACACAAAATGTTTTCAGAACGCCATATAATATGACATAATATTGTGTTTAGATAAACGAATTGGACTAACTTGCCTCCCTCGTATACGATGTCAAATTGACATTTCATTTCCATTCGTTTCACTAAAGACTTAGAGCAATGTTGCCTTTTTAACGCATGTGAATTTTGCTAACAAAATTTTTTGAAATTATATTAATAAATAATATATAAAAATTTATAGTGAACTCCATAAATAAACGTATTTATGCGAAATTTATATTTGCAAATTGAAATTGAGTTCGTGAAGTTATTTTTAGTTGGTACCAAAGGCTTCGTCGCCGGGCAGCAGTAATACGTGACAGCAGCTGAAATTCTGTGTAAAATGCAAAATAGCCGCAACAGTCTTCCAATAATATTGCAATAAAACTTTAACATCTTCCAACAGAAAATAAAAAATAAAAATTTTGACGCCAGTAGACATAAAACTTATTTGGATAAAATAGGTTTTCTAAAGCAACACACGAGACTACACTGCCAGATACTCCGCCCGCCATCACCATGAATAACAAGTGCCCAAAATTGATTGATGTATATGATATAAGCGATGATTTGGTAAAGAAATTAAGTGATTGGAAATTAATTCATATTATATCCGGAAAATTTAATGAACTTAAAGAGAATTATTCTAAAGTAAACTTTGTCGAACACGCCCTAATTGACTTCAAATATATCGAAAAAATATTCTTGAATACTAAACTGCGTGAGGAAAAATGCAACAAAAAGAGTTCAGAGTTTCGGATGCTGGGGAATGAACAATTTTCGCTTAAGAATAGACGATATTTTCAGGTATTACATATGCTTACGAAATATATATGTGTATTTTTTATTACGTTTAATACGTACTGGCTTTTTTTTTTGCTGCGTTGCAACAAGTTGTAATCTAATTTTATTTTTATTTTAGGCCTTGGAATTATATAATAAGAGTATATGTTTTTCTGAACCCGATTCAGAGAACTTGTCGATCGGTTATGCCAATCGTTCCGCAGTGCTATTCGAATGGAAACGTTATCGTGAGTGCTTAACCAATATTCAATTAGCACGTAAAGCTAATTATCCAGACAGATTAATGCATAAATTGGATAAACGTGAAAAGGATTGTAGACAGCTATTAGCCACGCAACCGCCTGATATTCAACCTTATGATTTTCAGATGCCTTTCGATCCACATCCACAAGTACCCAATATAGCAGATTGTCTCGAACTACGTCATACTGATGAAGAAGGACGTTTCTTATATACTAATCGTGATCTAGTCGTTGGTGACCTTATAGCCACTGAAGAACCATTTTGTTCTACACTGTTGCCACCAATGCGTTATATACGCTGTGCCACTTGCAAGCAAGAAAACTATCTTACGCTCATACCTTGTGACAGCTGTTGTTCAGTAATGTTCTGCTCGGAGGAATGTCGCGATCGAGCCACTGCGACTTTTCATAAATATGAATGTCCTATTATTGATCTGTTATATAAGATGTTTAATAAAATACATGGCATCGCTTTGCGAGTATGTCTTACAGCAATAGAACTGTTTCCTACTATAGAAGAGTTGATTTCATTTTGTGATGATCCTGAAAATCAAAACAAATCAGCTTTTGACTTAGATTATACGAATTTTACACCACGAGAGCATTATCGTGCTATACACGGTCTTGTAACAAATCAGCATTTACGTTCAGTATCAGATTTATTTCAACGATCTGTAGTTTGTGCCGTACTGAAACATTTTATAATTGAGTATACACCACTTAAGGAGTTTCTTGGCGGTGATGAAGGACAAAACTTTTTTACAGAATTATTATTTCGACATCTTCAGACATCTCCATCAAATATGCACGGTATAGATCTCGTAGAACAAGTTAACGAAACAAAAGATGATCAAACTCATTCATCTGGTGCATTCGCACTTTTATCACTACTTAATCACTCATGCGCACCAAATACACTAAGAGTTTATAATGGAACTAAAGCTTATTTATTAGTTTTTCGCCCTATACCCGCTGGCGGAGTGCTTTATGATACTTATGGGTATGTGTTCTTATTATACATATATAAATTAACAGTAACTTTTTTTTTTATAACAAATTGTGTTATTTATTTTCAGTGTCAATAAGAAATTAACTTAACAAGTATCAAATTAATATAAAACAACAAATTAATTTTTATGTGCTTTTATCACTTAATTATTAATAATTTTTATTTCTTTTTTTCAGACCACATTTTGCAATATTTTCTAAGAATCAGCGTATCGAAACCCTATCCATGCAATACCGTTTCACTTGTAAGTGCGAAGCATGTGAAAACGATTATCCCAATTATCGAAGCCTCAAACCTAAATCGATGGTACCTTATATTAATAACGAGACAGATATGAAAAGTCTAGTTGCTTATAATTATGACTTTGCTTTGGAGAATTATCGTAAATACTGCGAATTCCTAACAACACATGCAAAGGCTTATCCTTGCGATCAAATCAGTTCCGCAGAAGAATGCCTTAAAATGGCACTTAACATCTTAGTAGATGCTGTACCGCTTAAAGCAAAAATGTAATCTACACCACATACACACAAACAAACACACACACACATACACATTTTGCAATAAACAATATTGTTGCCATAGAGAGAGACGTAAAAGTTATAAACATTTTTATGTTTTATAGCACATTTTCGCAAAAATATCAGTAAACAGAAATTGTATATGTAAAACGAATTATTATATATTTTGTATTTTTTTTTTCTTTTTGCAGAAAGGAAACTGTTAAACAAACTGATAGATATTGGGTTGTTCAATGATAAAAAAAAATTATATT